TAGATTCTGCCTTAGTTTCTTTGGACAGCAACTGTGTACTTTTAGGACATTTCATACTTGCTTGATTCAACTGACTTTGGTTTCTCATCCCTGAGATACATTCTTTTTTTAATTTTTTTTTATTTTTTACTTTTTGAGAGAGGGTCTCACTTTGGAGAACAGTGGTGCCATCATGACTCACTGCAGCCTTGATTTCCTGGGCTCAGGCAATCCTCTCACCTCAATGTCCTGAGTAGCTGGGACCACAGGTGCATGCCACCATGCCCAGCTGATTTTTGTATTTTTTGTAGAGACAGTGTTTCACCATGTTGCCCAGGCTGGAACTCTCAGGCTTAAGAGATCCGGCTGCCTTGACCTCCCAAAGTTCTGGGATTATAGGTGTGAGCCACTGTGTCCGGCCTCACTCATTTTTTTGCAGGGGCTCAATAGTAGAACTAACCAGATGAAGCAGAACCAGGCATTTACACACTTGAACAGTGGTATAGCTGTAAAGTCCTAGTGTAAAAGTCACACTATATATCTTCTGTAATAATACAAATTTACATGAATGAAGCATCTAATGATATGAATAACAAAGACAAGAAAAATTTGGATCAGAGAGGGCAGAACCTTCAAATTCCTATTGTAGCCTCTTAATTTAAGGTTACCAGCTCCTCCCTGGTGTCAAGGGTATGGTATTATGGGGATTATCTTCCAGACTTTGATTGTTCAATAGATACTGACTTTTCCTGGATGTATTCTAATCAGCTTGACTGTACACATCTTGGGCTACTGGATATTTCAGATTCTCAGCTTCATTTTTTACTACCCACTCCCAAGTACCTAAATGTGAGCAGCAAGAAAGACTGATGTATACTTTACTCCCTTAAGACCTAATTGATAAGTATATTTTCTTACATTTTAGGCTGGGAAAAAAAAATCCCACACAAACGTTTATGGCATTATTCTGGGTACAGATTGAAGAAAATTTTCCTGGGTGCACCAAAGTTTAGAAATGTAATAGATAGAATATTTGACATCTTCCTGCATTTGTCAATTGTCCAGAATTCTTTGGGCAATTAGTCAAGACTGATATAAGCAAAGAAAGATGTCCTATATAGAAAGAGGAGGCAAGTCAAGTAAGTAATATACTAACTCTAGGTTTTGAGGTCAAGTGTAGTATCCTGTCTTTCCTTCACAAATATGAGACAGACATGATTAAATGCCTCATCTCTAAGTGGTCAAGGTCACAAATTATTGCAAAATATGCCAAACTGAAAGTCTGTACAGATTTTCTCTAACGATTTGGACAAACCCTTCAAGTGGTCGAACTTCATTTCACCAGCAATCTGTCAAATAAAGGAGAATCAACAGATTCTTTTTAATAGACATTGATAAATGGTAAAATCTGTTAGTTCTAAATACCTTTGTCCTTGGAATTTATCTTATTTTTGAAAACTAATGGGGAGAAATGAGATTGAAAATACATCTCCCTAATATTTTTAATTGAATATTAAGTCTCTAATACAAACTTAAAGTTTGGTGTCATAGGACACTCATGTCATTCTTTACTATCATCAGTATTAAAAATTTCATTAAACCTTATGGAAGACTAAAAAATCCTTTTATTTTTACATTTTATGCCATATGAGACACGATTAAAATGACAAGTTCCCAAATAACATGAATAATGTATTTCCCCTTTATCCAAAGCAAGTACATTTTGCTCTTAAGAGTGTTTAATCCATTTTCTTTTTCAGGAAGAGGAAAGGAGGGCGATAAAAGGATTTACGGTTAGAACGGGTATTTAATGAAAGGCACATATTTGGCTTGTGATTGTAAAATAACTGCTGTAGTTACTCTGAGTTTAGACAGGAGTCATAGATTTTGACATTAATAAAAGCAAATTATGATTCTGTTAACATTCATATTTACCTCTTTGGGACAGAATTGTTTAAAGTTACTCTGTTTTAGTCATGGAAATAGTAGAGTCCGTATTAAGAAACCTTATTTCTGTGTATGTATATAAATGTTTACTTCAGGAAGCACCAGATCTACATTTATAGAATAAGTTTCAAAGAACAGCTTAAAATATCATAAAACTTAGATAGAGAAACTTAAGGTGCCTTCTGCTACTTTATACTCTTTTTCCACTATATTCCACCCCATTCATCAGAGAAAGTGCTAATATGAATGGTCAAATCCCGTCACCATCTTTGGACCACTGGGAGTGGAGCTTTATGGGGAGATGTAGGCAAAAGCCATAGCTCTGTTAAGATTTTAGCCTCCTTGTGTTTGCTTACTCCCCAGCAGCTGGGGCAAGTCAATGGCCCTGGAGCTGCATCTTACTTGGGAGGGGCCTCTGCATTGAGAAGGTCAGAAACTAGTACATTAGCCAAACTCTCCTTTAAGGCTTTTTTCATTGGTGCGCTTTTCTCTAGAGGCATCTTTCCATGCTGCCGGGGTGTTAAAAATATCTTGAGGGAAGTAGGATTGGGAGTGAGTATAGGAAAAGGAGACTAAGGCTGTAAATGTCCATCTAGCTCAAGCTTGTCCAACCCACAGCCCACAGGCTGTAATACAGCCCAGGATGGCTTTGAATGTGACCCAACACAAATTCGTAAATGTTTTAAAAACATTATGAGGTGTTTTTTTGTGATTCTTTTTTATTTTTATTATTACTTGTTTTAGTTCATCAGCTATAATTAGTGTATTTTATGTGTGGCCCAAGGCAATTATTCTTCTTCCAATGTGGTCCAGGGAAGCCAAAAGATTGGACTCTCCTGAATTCTGGCTCTTATAGCTCTGTATGGTCCAACTTAGTCCATCAGGAGACCACTTCAGGATTTTTCAGTTGAAGCTCTGGTAAATAATAAAGAGGATACACTTACTTGGCCTTTTCCTCTGTGCGTTTTTCTCTCTCTCATGGACTTAGTGGGGGCAAAAGTGGACACAGTAGGTGATTGCTCAAGACTTCTGGATGTTGGGTTTCACCTCTGTTTGAGTTACTTCTTGGCCAAACATATGAGAATACTCTCTTCTTTTTGCCAGAACAAGAGTTCATGGGTACTTTTAAGTAAGACAGTAAGGGATTAGAACTCCATGAGTCATTAGTCAGTCAGGAGGCAGTTTCCAAGAAGTTTGTTAATTCTCTCCTTAAAATACTATTAAGTAATAGTCTGCTGTTAACCACTTTGGTTTCTTAGCCCTCTGTCTGGTGCAATCTTTTTTCTTGAACTGTTCTAAATAACTAAGAAGATTCTGAACACTCCTAATACCTCCGGCCCCTACCTTAAGAGAGATGAACAAAAAGGGGTCTATCAATGGTCAAGCTCCAGGAAAACATCTCATAAAGCTTACCAAGAGTTAATGATTCCAGTGACTTTTAAATCCAACATAAAGAGAAGGAAAAGACAAAATTCATGATGAAGAATAATATGTGCCACAAACTAGGGATTATGATGAACCAATTCTGTGTATTTAACGTGTAACTTAAAAAACTACTTAATGACTTTAAGAAAAAGGAAGGCCTTCAAACATGTTGTCATCAGAATGTGGCACTAGAGAACCCATGAAAAGAAAACATTGATAACAGCATATTTGCTTAGTATCCCATAGAGTTATGAGGACACTGGGAAGTCTCCTGTTTCTTCCCAGCAGTAGAATACTCAGTACCGGTGAATGTAGAGCAGCCAAGAAAGAATTGATGGGTAACTGATATTCTTGAACTTCAAACGGAATATTTCTTTAATGCTGACAAGGAGAAAACAGATAACACAGTCCAGAACTGACTGTAATAGTTTTTCTAAATGCAACCAGCATGAAGAATGATGTTCTATAGGATAAAATAGAAGACATCTTGGCACTGGGTGATGCCATCTAATTGCAGAGTTCAAATTGCTTTAGAATCTTTGAAGCACCAAAACAAGGATGTAAAACATATTCATAATATGTGTCTTCATAAGTCCTGTACTTTCAAAATGAATCTAAGCCTTTGGAATAAGAGTAAAAATAACCACCTGAAATTTTTATAAAAATAAAGAATAATCATGAACAGGGTTACTCACAAATGGGATTCATCTTGCTCTTTATTCAAGTGGAAAAATCTTCCTTTCACTGATACATTTGCCAAACCATTCCATTTAATGTAGGAAACACCACTTTGTTTCTTCTGAATTGCTAAAACTATTGTACTCTAAAATCCTGTAGCTGAGGTTTAGCTGTACTCAATTTGCTTGTATAAAATATACAATACCTCATTTTAAATCAACATTTAAATGCATTAATGCTTTTAACCCTTCTAAGTACAATTGCTTCCATAAGGAATTTTTCCGTGAATTATCTAGTTCAGATTGTTTGAATAGCATTTTGAATTTCCTTTCCTCTTTAATTTCAGAACTTACATGTTTTTGTGTCATTCACAAATCAAAGCTTCAAAATATTGAAGTTTTGGGGTAAAGACATTTAAAGATCTTTCTTCAAAATGTTTTGTTGGAAAAACATAGATATCACTCATTGTATTACAATACAATTCACACTTTCCTAAGGAAACAAAATCACAAATTTCACAAGAGCTGTCCAATGGAAGCAAATTCAGGTTCAAAGAGATGAGAAGAAAAGAGTGATTTTGCATTCAGCATATATGATCTGTTGCGGCAACTGTGAATTCCTTATTTCTGCCAGCTATAGCTCAGTAAAGAAATGGATGCTATTGTGAAAGTCATCCCCTGAAAACAGAGATGAGAGTAAGTAAATGAGTAGAGTTGATACAAATTCAAGTCATTTTGCAAAGGATTTTACATTGATGGATTACAAGATGAATTCTCACAAGTTGGCAAGGTTTTCTAAAGTCTAGCTTTTATGAATATTGTTTGAACAAGTGGTGTAGAATTCAGTCTATGCTCTGTGAAATAACATGATTTATTATTATTATTATTTTTACCAAGTTGGAATTGTTTAGAATCACCAAATAACAGGATTCAAAAGTAAAACAGCTGAAAAATCCAACAGTCTGGTCTAACCTGGGATGCTCTGTCTCCTCACAGCCAACGCTCCATCAGGCGGCTTTGTCTGGCTGGCGGATTTAGTGTAGGGACTCTCATCTGCAAAGGTACAATGAAGCGTTTGGTTAATTTCCATCCAGTTTCTAACGCAGTGAAGATTTTTAACGGATTGCAATCCTTCTGCGAGAGAGAAGTGGTACAGTACAGTGGAAAGTGTTGGTAGGCCTGGGTCCTATACTTGGGTTAGCTGTGCGATCAGTCTTTGAAAATGTTGTGAATATGTTTCTTCCCTTATAAAAGAGAGAGAAAATTCTCATCTACTTCTTAGGGTTGTCAGGATCAAAAGCTATAGTGCTCATGAAGATGTTTATGAAATGGTAAGAAGTATGCAAATATAGTATACAAATTATTTGTCATCTACATTCATTGATAAGTAAGTACCAGTGAATAGGTGTAACAAAGACAAAGAAGAAATAAAATGGCTGAATGGGCACTAAGAATAATCAGGTAGAAGAATAAAGAAAGTAAAAAGAAAGGCAATATTTCAGATAAGCAGATGACAGAGTTAGTATTGCAAGGGAAATAAAGCCACTCAGAGTTAGTAGGTTCCTCCTGGGAGTGTGAACTGGCAGCCAGTGCAAAGCAGAGGGATAGAGATGTTCAGAGGGAAGACCAGAGGAGCTAGGTTGAGAATAGGGAAGGAATGGTGGTTTGGCAAAAGAAGACATATATTGCAATGAGCTGGTTTGTGCTCTTTTAGAAAGAGATGAAAATAACTTGCAGAATTATTAAAAGAGCAACTGAGAAGACAGAAGGTCTAAAGCTTAATGGATCTGTGAGAGTTAGGCAAGAAGGTGAATGATTAAAACAGTAGGTGACAAGATCATGGAGACAATGAGTCCATCCAGTTCTAAGTAAGGTGATTTTTTTTTTTTAACTTTGAAAATGATTTTACCTGACTAGGAATAAAGGAGCAGTGATCTAGGATGGCAAATACTAAGGCTAAAATAAAGGACAATTCTTCCTAATTGGGATGGGAGCATTTATAAAAAGTAAAAGAAATGTGAATAACAACCTTAAAAATTTCAAGAATAAGATGTACATGGCTTGAGTAAATAGAACGTAAAATAATTATCTAGCATATTCAGTCCAGCTAGATAACCTAAATGTCACTGCTGGCCACACTATAAGATGTATTATTGTTGTTGTTACCATTTTATAATAGCAGGAAATCATTAAAGAATTTAAAGAAACCATATTGTGCATGACAAACTATTACACATAACAAGGATTTATTCAGAACAAGGCTTTATCATCTGAGAACATTAATTCTCCCAACTGAATGGCTTGTGTTTCAAAATTGAGGAACTCATTTCCTCTCTAGGATGAACTTCTGGTTTGAAATGATTCATGATTTCTTCATAAAACTAACAAGGTCTTTATACGCGATGACAAAAGGAAAAGATTAACACTGCTGTAAGTGGCAATTAACTTAAAAAATAGAAGTCATGCTGTTTCACATTTATATTTAATTTGTCACACAATTTTTTATATTCTTCCAACCATAAAGATAAACTACCAACTTTCAGATACCAATTCAATCAACACCATTTTTGCTTTAGAAGTGGTATCTTAGGTCTTCGACTCTTCTCTTTGCAAACACCATTTTGAGTATAATTAAAACCCACAAAACAAAATACAAAATGTAAACATCACACTATAAAAGTCCCTCTTTGCCCCACCATTGTCACTTGAATATTTGAGTGTTTTTCTTACAGTGTTAATAAGAAGGCAATATGCTTCATTTAGTACCTTTTAAAACAAATGTACTATGTATTAAAGCCAGGGATTCTTTATAAGACTGCTTTAAAAATGTATTTCCTTTCATTGTCCAAAACCTTGAAACGGTGTATTTATGAGCATAGAGCACTAAGCCAGGAAATAATCACAACAACCAGGCTTAGGTACGGCATCTTGGAAGCCTAAAAGCTTTCCTCAGTGTTCTATTTGTCAAGATTCCAGTCAATTAAAGTCTTGAGTTGAATCCAGTGTCGGCTTTTTATAAAGGGCAGTAAGAGATTTACCCAGGAGACTCTGGGGTTATCTGCACTTGATGCTCTATTTTAAGGAGGTATTTCTTTAGAAATGTACCCAGTTTGCATTTCAGAAGTAGTCAACCCTGGTAAAATGGTTTTCTCATTTATATTTGAAAACAACTTCCTTGATTTAGAACTGAGATAGTCTAGTTGAGCACATCCTTAAAAGGTTGAAAGTGAATTATAGATGACCACCTGGCCAGCCTCTCCATCACCACCCCCAACCTCTACTCCTGCTCCCAATATCAAGAGTGACCTTACTGAGCACAGGCGAAAATAAATAATTATCTAGAAGCCAAATCTTGTATTGGTTAAAGGACCAGAATGAAAAAGTTCAGTGTTATCTAATGTTGTCTAAGCGGTGTTATTGCTTTCACCCTGATTGCCAAAGCCAATCATGCCAAAGCCTATCAGTGTGAAAGCAATAATTCCTAATGGAAGGGAGGCAGAGGCTTGGCAACACTGATCATCAGAGCTAAGGAGGGCATAGCAGCAGAGCAGCATGGCACAATATAACACTTGGTTTTTAGGAGACTTTCCTGAAGAGTGTCTTTTTATTTTAAACACTTTAGAGGCACCATGGCCTTTTAGAAAAAGCTACCCATCACAGAATGAACACCAGCTCTCTTAACGTGATTTACTGAAACTCAGCTCTGAATTTAAACTTGTTTGAAAATAGAAATGGAGAAAACACACTGAATGAATCTGTGGTTGATGGCTCCACAGTAGGATACTAAAGGACAAGACTGTCCAGAGTACATTTCTAATCCTTGAGCATAAAGTCATGGAGAACTACGGAGGCTTCTATCTTCTCTTGTGTCCCTAAATGCAGCTTTATAGATATATCCCTAGAATTTCATGCTTATAAGGGATAATCTAGACCATTCTTTCATTGTAAATAGCACTGAGGCCCAGAAAGATAAATTTACAGAAGGACACACATCTAAATTGAGTCTAGATGGAATTTCTTATATTCTTAGTCCCATGTTCTTTCTTCATTTCCTTTTAGATAGACGATAAGATTTCTTAGGCCATTGGGTCCACATGTTGCTGTGTCACAGGAGTGAGTGACTGGGCACACTGTACCAGCAGAGACCTTGTATGGTGTAAGTTAATTGCTACAGTCAAGCCTTTGAAAATGAGCCTGAGCCACATAGCCAATTATTTTTGTGTATACACATCCCATTCTTCCCTCCTCCACATATTTGTTGCCTAAAGCAAACAACAGTTACAAATGGTACTACCGAACTAATTTATGCTTTTCAGTTCATTTCTTTGAAGATAAAATTTCAAAGCAACGTCAATATAGCTCATTGTTCCCCAGGATGAGCCTTAAAAGAGTCACTGAATTATAAGATTTATGTTAATACTTTTCCTTTGTTTCATTGGAGAGATACTAAATAGGCTTTCAAGTTACATCCAGATATGTAAGTGAACAAAAAAAGGTCAAATGACAAGGAAATAAATCAATCAGAATAGTACCTAGCACATCGTAGGCTTTCACTAAATGTTTGCTGATAGAATATGTGAATTAATTATATTCACTTTTTCAAACAAGAGCATTTGTTGTAAACAAAGAACATGAAGAAAGTCAAACATTTGTTATAAGCTATATTCCCTCCTACTTCTGCTTTTCTTTTTCTAGGTTGATAGCCTGTTCCTTTTAAAGTCACATTATCATCCAATAGCTATTAAGTATTGACTTAATGTGAAAAATCTCACCCTTTATAAAATGGTTATCAACATATATTTCCTTTCATTTTCATTCAGACTGTAGAATGATTGATCAACCTTTAAAATAATGTCTTTAAACAAAAGAATTATGATTTTCATAGCAGACTCTCAGCCCAGACTTGGATGATCATATTAACCAGGGATTCTCACTAAAAGTCACTACAGGGGAAAGCAGACATTCAGTTAGTGAGCTACTTGCTCACTGAAATGAATGCTTCAAGCAATCATTAAGGGCATCTCAGGGTATCAACACTACCAGCCTTTCCTAACGACATCTTAGCAGCTAGGTAATCACCGTCACACATGATGGCCCTTCACAGGGGCTTACCTGTTGGTCACAATAAAGAAGAACATGGGTCCCTTTAGAGTGACATCTCATGAGGCTAGGGAAAAATGCCCTCCATTAACAGGGAGAATTGACATGGTGACAAAGGTACCGAAAGCGTTAGTCAAGCATATACTTAAAGCAGAAGAAGAACAATAAGGGGGACCATCTGTCCCTCTCATTCCCCCCAGTTTGGCCAGTTTCCTCATGTGCCAAACACAGGAGGGGCAAACACAGATCATTTGTTTTGATCACATGAAGCTGGTGTTTATAAACTTGGAAAGCAACCAGTGGGCACCTAAGGAGCAATGCTTCACTATGCATCACAAACCGCCTGTGCTGGAGCTGGGAGAGTCACAGTGTGAGGAAGGGACTCAGGTCCCCTCATGCTCTCAAATCCTCCAACATTTGCTTGGTATCAAACAGCATCCTTGTGTCACCAGGCTGGTTCCTGTTTCTCCATTTCCTGAGAGTCTCATTTCTCACTCTGGGCTATGCAGAGGAACCCGATATGAATATGGTTTCAGGAATCTCTAGCTGTGTTCAAAGCTTTGCTGAAGAAAGGAAATTTAATTTCCTTTGGCTGAGACTAATCAGCGTATACTAAACAATTCTTAGCAACTAATTATGCACAACTGAGGCACCTGCTAAGCCAGCAGACCCCTTAACATCTTGATTAGGAAAAAAGAAGGCATTTGGTGCAGTTAAACATTATGACCATTTCCCAGTAGCGAGGAGACAGGCAGGGCATGCCACAGTGCTCATGCATGTCCTTACAAACTTGAAATAAAAGTCTGGTTTCCATGAATGAACAAAATAAAATCCACTGTAGATGAAACAATCTGTCCCTTGAATTCAATTAAATGTCACACAATTTAGTACCTACTATAAGCAAACTAAGACTCAAAGTACACAAAAGATAATGACACTTTCAGTGGAGTGGT